TGATGTTTGCGACCGATTCCGTTGCTTCCAAAGCCGCGTGGTCACCGTAAGCCAAGCCAGAAATATCATCTTCATCAGAACCTTTCTTGGAAAGGTCATTAACGGTCGCAGCATCAGGTTCGGCTTCATCGTCCGATGCTTGAGCGCTTGCGACAGAGTGGAATTCGTCTTTCTCAGCGGATGCTTGGTTGTGCGATCGAGGAGCCTCATTCAACAGGAGAGTCGCCGAGGAATAATTGTCAGGATGGAGGGGAAGTTCGGCGAAGCCATTTACAGTTGAGTTATCAGGGTGGGACGCCACGGATCGTCTGCCGTCCGGCGAGGAGGACGTAGTGGAAGTGGGAGAAGTAGGAGTCGATTGTGAAATCGGAACTGGCTCCCGATGAGGATTTCGGGGTGGTAGAGCGGGAGGCAAGCGCTTGGGAATGGTGACCAGCCGGGCGCGGGTGAATGTGGGCGAATGACGTTTCACCTCTGGAGGGGCGGTTGTGTCCTCAATGGACACAGGGGAAGATGGAGTGGTGCTCTCACGCTTGGAGACGGTAGCACTACTGACCTCGTGAACCTCATAGTCATCGTCCACGGAGTCCTGGTCACTGTCGTGCTCTGGATCCCGGGTGAGATGGGCCGGCCGCTCCGGTATCACGGTATCCCAGCCGTCCTCTGCATCCCACGGATTGCGCTCGGTACGGTCCGCGCGGGTGCTCCCTGACGAGGCGCGGCTGATTGACGTAGGGGCAGTATAAGGGGCGCCGTCGGTCTGCGTCCCTCGATCCACACTGGCATGGCTCTGAACGCTCGCTCTCCAACTGCTGCGTGGGGAGCTATCCAAGCTCCGTCGGAAGGTGGAATAGATGGGACTATGGGGACTGGGTTTGAATTCAAAGACATCTTGTGTCGGTCGCGTCCGGGTCCCGGCTTCGCGGATGAACAAGCCTTCGGCTTCCAGAGCCTTTACCCCGAATGGATCCGGGTCATCAGGGTCAGGGACTCCGAATGTAGTCGCTGGCTGAAGTTCAACATCGCCTGGCGTCTGTCCCGGGGGAGGAATCAGGTTCTCATCCACATCGATGTCACCTTGTGCGGCCTTGATCGTCTGGATGAGAGTCTTGATGGAGTCTGGGGGTCGCTTCGCCTTGCCGGCTAGAATGTCGGTGACGGATATCCTTTCGCCATAGAATCGTTCATTCTCGTCTGTGCGTTCAATGATGATCGTTCCGTCGACCTGGACGCCAGCGTACAGACCCCGGCTCTTCATGTATGTCCAGATGGGTGCCTGTCGCTTGTGAACCTCCGACTCCAGTACACCTCCGACCCCAAAGGGACCCGCCGCCGCGCTGACCTCTCCTCCCAGTGTACACCGCACTTTCTTGAATGCCTCCAACGCCTCGAAGGTGTTGATAACAACCACGCAATCATAAATGTCCACCCCGGCCAGGAAACCGATACCAGCAGTATGCAGCATGATACCAGAGGGTGGACTCCATTCGCCTGTTTCGGGAATGCGAGCCAGAAGCACACCACTGCCACCCGAACCACTCAGCCATAATCCCGTTCGCATTGTCGTGAAGATGGCGAGGCCCACTGCGCGCTGGATTACTGGCGCGGGGATCTTTTTGATCACCCGCTGCTTGCCCTTGGGTCGATCGATCTTCCCATTGCTGTCCGTGCCGTTCCGCTCTGAATCCTCTGTGGCATAGAAACCATCTTTGCAAAAGCTGCGAAGGATGCGAGCTGCTTTGTCGCTTTCTTTGTCGAGGGTCATGGGCCAGAAGGCCTCTGCTCCAACGCGATTCGACAAACGATTCACCGGCGCTCCTAGCTTATCGACCGTATTCCATGCCTTGTCGAATCCCTTCTTGCCGCCCACCTTGGCCCTTTCCCAAATCGATGGGGCCATTGTGGCGACTATTTGAGAGCCCGCTGAGTCGAATCCACAGCCCTCGCAAGGACAGGACCACGTTCCTCGACCGGAGAGGACGCCGACTCTATATTTTCAAATCAGAAACCCTAAACCGCTGAATCGCGACGAGAACGGTAAACACGCGCCACGCAGATCGCCCCTAAACGACAATGGAATGTAAAAAGATGGGCGGATTAGGTATAGTGTCGTTGATTGCCGCAGCCGAGGTATGCTTGCCAGACAAGCTTTGGAATGCAGCTAAGGTTAAAACAAAGGTAGGAGACAAATTGAACTATTGGTAAAAAAGGGTGCTGGAATGTATTATGTATATGAATGCGCTGAGCTACATGAGAGAAGTAGAAATATCAGTCATAGGGTTACTCCGCGCTATCCGTGTTCAACGGCCGGAAGAGTGGCGATGTCGTCGCAAGATGAAGGTCGGAGGATGGAAAGAGAGGAAGGGTAACCATGGAACGGGAGAACAAGGGAAGAGGCCCGAACTTACCTGCCCAATAACCCAGGAGCAACGGGGGAAAATAATAAATAATAAATAAAGAAGGGGACCAGAAACAATCCGACGGGGATGGACGGAAGATGGGGATGAGGTTCAATAATACCTTGAGGGACGAGCAAGGTATGCAGGCGAAGGAGACAAGGGAGGTCCTGTAGGTACTTGGTACTTGTATATCAGGCGAATAATGAAGATCTTCAAGGAATCAAGCAGAGGAACTAGAAGGTATTATTGTGTATCATTATAAATGTTATTCATCTCATTCATGGTCATGGTCCATGGTCCATTGGTCGTACATAATAGTCGTCAATATTTAATAGTCCATGTCCATGTAAGTACTAAGGTAGAAAAACCAGGGACGACAAGGCGCGGCTGGGTCGGAAAAGCATAGTTGGAACCCAAAGTGACGCCAAGGCTGGACCTGGAGGAAAAGAGATAGGAAGAAGAAAAAGAAAGAGAATCAAAAAGAGTGGGAATGAAGTGGAAGTGAAAGTGATGGATGTCATCATCATCATCAACTTCACCTGGCGTCATCATGGGACTAACCTAGTTGTTATCTAGACTAGTATATTGGTAAGGCTTAGCGATCGGCGACACCGGATCATCACTAAAGAGGAGTATTTGTAAGTACCTAGGTAGCGTCTACAGACTACATGCTGTACTCCGGAGTAGTCTACCAATTTCTGTATCTGATTACTGACAATGACAATGTGTTTGTCTGCAAGAACAACAACTTTCTCTTCTGTCCCTCCTTTCTGCATCTAATCAAATGAAATCGATCGTCATCGACTACGTACGTCAAGTGGAATACTCGATTCATGGAAGTACCTGGAATTGGACCACTGGTGCATTAATCACTAATGATTTGGGTCTAGATTCTCATACTTTCTAACCGACTGGTTCTCTTCTTTTCTTCCAGGTAGCGTTCCTGTATCCTTAGACAGTCTCCAACTGTCTGAAATCACCCTCCTTGACAAAGTTTGACTATTCCGCTCCCACATCGAAAAAGGCGAAAGGGGAAATTTCTCCCTGCATTCCTGAGGCCAACTACTGTGTTAGGCACATATGACAGCTCCAATACCGCCTCCCTTCGGCCCCAACCACCTATTATCTGTTTACTGGATGTACACACTATTCCCTACTATGGCCATATAGATTCTTTTATCCTTGTCTGTCGGATCAAATGAATGATGGATCATGAATCCCTTTCGCATCCGATCCACCTCAGGACAGAGCTTCAATCTCTCCCTTGGTTTCATGACGGGTCCGGTGAACACTGGACAGAAGCATATGCAGTAGATATTCTGCCGTCTGTACAGTAGCTCAATCGATAGTTCCGTGTTCCGAAGCTTTCTCGCCATTAAGCTGCGATAATTCCTTCTTGTCTGCGTCCCTGAGCTCAAAGCGTCCGCTGTCAGTAGTCAACCATCGACCGGCACGATTGTCCAGTCTCGTTGTCTTCACCTCCACATTCTCTTATGGAATTCTCTCATTGGTGTATTTGAGAGAAGCTCTTTGCGGTTGAGATGCACCTGGCACATTGAGATACAATACGAAAGCCAGTCCTGAATCTCGTCAATGTGGTTCGAGTATCTTCACCCATGCTCGACAGCGATACCCCCACAGTTGACCATATACGGGTTACACAGAGCATAATTCAACGACAATCCCAATAAGTACCGCAAAGAAAGCAATCTACCCCGTCATCAATCTCCTACTCCTTCCAGCCAGGATATTCCTTTGATCACCCCAACAACCGGACACTAAAACCTTCCATGATCCCAGTGTAGAATCGCAAATATGATAGATGACACACATTAGCTTCGTCTATGGATCCATAAACTAACCAGATCGTCCACTTTCACCAAGACAGCGTGTAATATGTATGCATCTCTTCAGGGATCTACCTAGATTAGCGTACTTCCGTGTCCAAAGCCAATCCATCTCCATGGCCTATTTCCCAGATCATCAACTCGAAACAAACTACTGCGCGTCATAGACAGCAATATGAATAGCAACATCTTACAGTGTACAGGTTCACAAAACCGGGTTTTCAGATGAACAAAATAGACCTCAAGTAATCGATCGATCGAATCGTGGGTTCATGGGATGCCTCACAAACTCATTTTGACCGGCACACGACTCGCCTCACGAGACATCTATCGTGAAATATCACTTTCTAACGGCACACATCAACAGTGCAATATTTGTAAAGAGCAGTAAAATCTCAGCAGGTGATAGGATCTCTGTGACCACGAGAAGACGAGAGTTGCCGTCTGCCGTCTATGCTTAACACTATCGGAGGCTAACATGTTCGCATGATCCATGCGGACGGAGGATACTTTGGTAATAAAATGTACATGAGACCTGTCATCTTGTATCCATATGTAGCAATGAACTCGGTGCCCAACTTCGGCTTCGGTTGTTATTCCACAAGATGGATAGCAGCTGCAAATGTGCAAATCATGGTATTGTTCAGTCACAAGTAAATCTAGCTCCGGCTAGTCACCGCAGTAAGTCTAATCATAAAAAACAAGCATACAGATCAAGCATTCGTCTGGCTCATTTACACGGTCGAATTCACAATCACAGCGCACCGAGCTCCTTCAGCTTGCCGATCAGACCGTCAACATCCTCCACCTTACCGCCGCCCTGGCGCGCAGGAGGTTCTGTCATAGTCAGCATCCGCTGTGCATTGCACCGGGAAAAAAGAAACCTACCAGTAACCTTGAGCGTCTTCAACCGCCGCTTATCCTCAACCCCAAAATCCTCCAGCTTCTTCTTCTCAAGCGGCTTCTTCTTCGCCTTCATGATGTTCGGCAGACTGGCGTACCGAGGCTCGTTCAACCGCAGATCCGTCGTGATCACCAAGGGCAACTGAGCCCGGAGCGTCTCAACACCCCCATCCACCTCATGAGTCACCTCCACCGTCCCCTTATCGTCCTTGATCTCGACCTTGCTCGCCTGTGTCGCCTGCGGCCACCCCAGCAACCCAGCCAGCATCTGGCCCGTCTGCCCCTGGTCACCGTCAATCGCCTGCTTCCCCAGCAGCACCAGGTTGATGTTCTCCTGCTTCACCACCGCCTGCAGCATCTTCGCCACGGTCAGCGGCTCCATGCCCCCGTCGTTGCTGTCGGGGACCTCGACATGGAAGGCCCGGTCCGCGCCCATGGCCATCGCTGTCCGGAGCGTATCGGCGCACTTGGCTCCGCCAGCGGAGAGCGCGAGGATGTTTTCGACTTTCATGGGGCCTTTGCGCTCGCGGAGGCGGACGGCCTCCTCGATCGAGAGCTCATCGAAGGGGTTGAGCGAGTGCTTGACGCCGGCGGTTTCGACGCCTGTCTGGGTTTTGTTGATTCGGGGTTTGATCTTGGAAAGTTATTAGAATCAGTTCGGAATTACTCCTACCCGTGGATGGTTTTTTGGAGTCCTGGTATAGAGCCATTGATGTGACTGTCTTCCAGCTCCGTCCGTAACCTCGGAGCTCTGACTCTTCACCGAGAACGGAGTATGTATGCCAGAGAAAATATAACTCACCGCATAGTCGATCACCCTCTTCACGGGGACTAGAATCCGCAATCCGCTCATTGTGCAACTGTAAAGTGTAAAAAACTACCAGTCAATGGTGCGAAACAAAAGACCTGGAAATTGGAAAGCAAAGTAGGAGTACAAGTGGACGAGGAGTCAGTCTGGGGCCAATCGAACGCAGGTGACTTGGGCGGAGAAGAGCCAAAGGGTGCAGAAAATACTCCATGGCCGATGCGGCCCGAGAAGGCCAACCGTACCATCATCGCGCCGCAGACCCCTCCGTCTCCAACCGAGGTTACTGCGCCGGACTCTTGGACAATGGACATTGCTGGGGTCGAGCAATGGCTATTTGCGGAGTAACGGAGCCTTCTAACTGATTTACTGGTGTTGATCAGGAAAAGAATGATGACCTTGATGTCGTCAATACCAGTGTCTGGTCTATGTGCGTTTCACTAATCTATGGATTCTGGAGAATATGTCCAAAGATCACCATATCACCAGTAGCATGTGACAATCCATGACACTATTTCAGACCGGTCAGGCCTACCAAGTCTCCTGCTTATACCGCCCGCTCTTCTCCATCCCTATCAGATACTCCTCTGCTCCACCTCGGTCAACCTGCTGTCCATCGGCCTGCCCTCCATGCTGAAATGCTTCAATGAGGGCCTCCCTGACTGCCTGCGGCATTCTCCCCGATGAACCACAGATATACACCGAGCCATTCATATCGTGTAGCAGCCTGAAAAACAGGCCGAAATTCTGTCGTATGATATCCTGGACATAAATCTTGTGTCGCTGATCTCGTGAAAACGCAGTGAAGACCTGCAAGTCGACCAAGTCACTCAATTTTTGCCACTCGTTCTCGAAGAAAAAATCGGCGGCGCGATTGCGGCCGCCGTAGAGAAGAATCGTAGGCCCAATCGGGGGCCTGACATCGGAATACTCTTCGCGGAACGCTTTCACGAGAGCAGCTTTCTCCCAGAGCATTGAGCGCAAGGGCGCGACACCGGTACCAGGTCCGATAAGGACAGTCGGGCCAACCAGTTGGTTGATGGAGGAGTTGAGTCCTCCGCGCTGCAGCTGGACTTGGAGGGTACTGCCTGGCCGAAGCACAGACAGGTATCTTGTACACACCCCTTCTCGGATCCGCTTGATCACCGTTTGATACTTTACAATGGCGATCAGCAGCTCGAATTTCGCTCCCCCATCGGATGTCGTTTTCAAATCCCCTCCGCTGGCGATGCTGAACTGCCTCCCTCGAAGGACAGGGAAGACCGCCGTCGCATGCTGCCATGGGATCTTGACAGAATGAAACTCATGCAAGACCTCCAGAATGCTTCGCCTCGGCCGTGATGTGTAGTCCCAAAACTCATCCAAGTACTCGGGATTCGTAAACTCGAGGAGTCGTTCCTTGTGCATCTCGTTGCTGGTGTAGTGTGCAATGGCCGAGAAGAACGACCGCCGAGGAATGGCTCTGATATCGATGTAGTCCGTCAGGAGCGCTCGCAGCGTCAACTTGGGATACTTCTCAAGACCAGGGATTGGCGGAGCATGCAACTCCGCTGCTGCTTGAAGCTTTTCGCCAGGAGCCAGCGATACCAACTTGTCAGCCGCTTCTCCCCAGCCCATCATGTCAATCAGTGCTTGGACATCATAATCAAAATTCTTCGGGGTGATGCAGACCATGTCCCCAGGAGCATAGGTGACCGCCTCAGAGACCGTAAGCGATATCTGGCGCACATCTTGCCAATGCGTACGTGGTGTGACCCGTCTGTTTTCAACAAGGGTCGCCGTCAATGAATCCGGGATGGGTCTCACGTCGTGATCCAGCCGAGTCAGCCCCGGATACTCGTCAGACGCTGTCTGTTCGCTGACTGAAGTCTGCTCCGTAGGCTCTTCACTTGTTGTGGCCTGTTCTTGCAATCTCAGAACCCATTTAGGCGGCAGTTGCACATCATCCGGTATCGGATGCAGCCCTTCAGGAAGCGGATACTTGTCCAGCAAGTGCCTCCGAAAGTCCGTAATCCATGGAATGAATGTGCCTTCAAGTCTAGTATCCAGTCAGTCATCTGTAGAGCAATCCGAGGCATATTCAGATCTCACCCTTCTGGATGTTGTGCATTAGCCTCACCACGGGGATATATCTCATTCGCCCCGAGTTGGAGTAGACGCTTGTGCAATTTCCGCGCAGCCCAATTAAACCTGATCGAGTCAGACGCTGCCGTCATACCAACAGCCATAAAGCTACTCACTTGGGGTATGAACTATCACCCAATCCAAACGAAACATAATTGACCCCGCTCAAGAAAGTAGGCGGGAGCTTCTTCAGAAGCAAGGATCTCCAAAATGACCGAGCATTCGCAGGAAACTCACCCTGGCCGGTCGTCGACACAACAAATATCGTAAAAGTAAAAGACTTGAGCAACTCCTGCGCAAGATTGTAAGCAAGGCACACCGGAAGCAAGGGAATAGACTAGGTAGACGCACAGCCTTTACAGAATTCAATTCAGCGACATGAGTCACGAAATGTAAGCGCTCGGCCAGCGCTCCAAGCTCTTCGGCCACTTCTTGCGAGTTTCCTGTTTCCGAGCCGTACAGGACAAGAGCGGTCCGCTTCGGGGGGCCCTGGGTCCGACTCTCGCTCATCCTGGGATACAATGGCTGCTTGCCACGGGGCGGATGGTCGCGATATCTGCCCCTCTATCTATCTATCTCTGCCGTTGGAGGCCTTAGGCCGAAGCTCGGAATGACATCATATTGAGGCCGGTCTAGGCCTGAGGCCGCAATTTTCAGATGCCTGCCAATTGTACTCCGTATGCTAGGTGCTCTAATTCATATGAAAGAGACGCGATGTTGTTAACGGGATTTTTTGCTAATATATAGACCAAGGCTGTCTTAGGTTCTCTCGCTGCTGACTTGGTCTTAGAACCCTAGTCTGATTGATAGGACTGATGTAGCCTATGAAAACAATTTCAAGCGCCTCGGATATGCTTGACCATGCACTGCTCCCTAGAATATAGAAACTAAACAAGATGGGGTATCTCAACAATTGTGCCTCAGTAGGTGTCTTCATCTCCACCTCCGCCTCCACCGTCTGCGAATCCGTCATCTCCGTATTCATCGTCGCCAGCATCAAAGTACTGTTCCGCATTGTAGTCACCGCCCATTTCGTCCTCATCATCCTCAAAGTCGCTGTCAATGATCTCTTCCTCCTGATCCTCATCCGCGTCCAAGATATCGGCCTCTTCTTCCTGTTCTCTTCGCTCAGCATCCTCATCTTCGTCGGCACCCTTCCTACGCTTGGTCTCCTCGATCTCCTCTTCTTCTTCGTCGTCCTCAAACCCTCTTTTCACCCCGATGCGAGGTGCATGTGCCACGTATCCATCCATTGCTGCGGAGGGGTTGAAGTTCGGCTGAATCGTCTTCCACAGGTGTCGAGGGAAGAATTTCATGACTGCAGTCGATCCATTAGCCACCGATCAGTGGTTGTTCCCCCCATCTCGCTGGCACAACACTTACCATACGGCCGTCCTTTCAACTCCGGACGATCCCGCTTCTGCTTCTGGTACTTGCCCGAATACGTAGGCATTCCGTGGAAAGGGTCAAAGTGCGCGCGTGTGGCCTCATCTTTTCTTGCCGTAATTGAGGTCGATTGGAGGACGGAGTAGTAGGGACCGTCGTAAAAGCGTTCTCGCAGAGTACGGTAGAGATCGACCTGTTTTTGTTCGCGAGGGTTCAAAGGTCTCGCGCGGGGAACGTTATATTTCTACACGCATGGTGTGAGTCTAGACCCTAGACTTTACCGGGAAGTTATCGGAGAATCGCTTCAACATACAGGAAAAAGAGGCGTAGGCGCTGTGTCTGCTTCCCCGCCAGGATCGGCCTCCCAGCTGAATTCTGCACCGGGGAGCTTCCTGCCTTTCTTTGCTCCAAATCGAGACATATTGGCGGGGCGGACGGCGGAACGAATAGAGGTCCAGAGCTTCTGGAGCAATAAGCAATTACTCAGTCCGCCATTTACGAAAGAGCCCGTCCGAGTAAATAGATAGTGCCCAGTCGAAGACCTGATGCGGCTTTAAGTTCGTGATGACAGCAAGGACGAAAAAAAGTTCGGGCGGAGCTCCGGCTCACCGCCTTTGATCAACTTCTCCATTTGGAAATCAGGGCATCAGAAATGAACCCTACATATCAGATCGTGACGGATGCTGAGGCTAATAAGTATGCTTTGTGGCTGATCTCTAGCTACGTTTGCCTGAAGACAATATAGAAAGAATCATTAGGTCATAAGCTATCTGCACATTTTGAGCTCGATATCTGCGTAGAGTTACGGCGATTCCAAGCAGAGGTTCTCACAACCCTACAGTCTCAACACGAGCGGTAGTTTGCGCGAGAGGTCCCCAGGGACCTTCGCTGACTCGTTGTCTTAGCGTACGAACAATATCCTCGAAACCTGTTACTTGGTCTCCCTTCTCCTTCAAATGGTTATACAAGGCAACAAGGACCTCGTATTTTGCGGTGGCAACTTTCCACACAATGTTCTGAGTGTCTCCTGCTCCACCTCCAACGAACTCGGCATAGGAGCGCGGTGGCTTGAACAGATAGGGCAGCAATATCGTCAAGGCTGGCGGTGTGAGGATAGCCCAGACGCCCGAGGAAGGAAGCAATCCTTGTGCAGCTGGAGATAAGGTGCCCAATGCCTCTTCCGAAGGCAGCTGATACCGGGAAGTATCAGGGACGGGCGATATGACTTCACCCGAGAGTACTTGCCAGTTAGCTGTGATCACAGCCTTCATGAAAGATATGGCTGCTAATGAAACATCCTTCATCGCCAGGATGTCAGCCGCAGCTACGATATCCGTCCAGAAGTTCGGGTGGTCATTCAGATACATGAAGTAGAGAATACGAGCCGCTGCGGCTTCTTTATGCCAGTCAGTGGGTGTCTGGCCAGAAGTATTCAGCTCCATTGAATCGCTCATGTCGAGTTTCCTTGGCCCGTGGAATATTTTGGCCAGAGCGTCCAATGCCTCTTTGCAAGGGGGACTTGTTGGAACAGCCAAAAGAGGATTGACGCCGTGCTTAGCGGCCTCGACAAGTAACACACGGGGTAAGGAGGCAAGGATTTCAAGCTGACCGGTTGGGGCTTGGCCATGCGCCCATTGATGTGACGAGATAGCGAGCGACCCGGAGACCCGTGAGATGATCTTGTCCAGTAGACTGCTCGGATTCTGCAGTAAGTTATTTGGATATGACTCCGCATACTGTGTAATGTAAGCCATGATGGGGCCATGAAGGTATCGCAAATCCACAGGATCCAGTTTGGTCTCATCCAAGTAAAACTCCAGGACGCTGAGATGCAGATCATGAGAGATCAGGAAATCAAGCGCCGGTGAGGAAAAAGTTGACGCAGACTGCACATAGACTCTAGCCCTCAAACCAGGAGCTTCGATTTCAAGCAGGTCCCGGAAGAAGTTCAGTAAAGTCATGTGCATCAGCACATCGCTCTTATCAACCATCCGACAAGCTGCAAAATGCAGAATGCTAGAGGAATCGTACTTAGTTTCAATCTCCGGGATCTGAGAACTGGAGATTAAGTCCCATCGTAGGTTGCCTGCCTTGACAAGGAATCCCATAAGCCTTCCCTGGGCGACCGTCCTCTCCCGTTTCGAGAGGGCACCTGGCTCATCGTTGGTGAGACTGCACAGCGAGAAGAGGCGCCCATAGACATCCTTATCAGTGAAAACTCGTCTCCAGAAGAGGCCTTGACCTCCCGTGCTGTCTTCAGCCTCATGGGTATGTGTTTCGTTTTCCAGCGGGCTTGCTAGATCGATCTCCAGTAAAGCCCAGAGAGCGTCAAAAGCAGCCTGCGCGACAGCCGTCGAAGTAGTTGTAAGCCAGACTTCGACCAGGGAGGCAACCAACTCAGGATCGCCAGCAACTATGGCAGCATCACTGGGAATTCCTCCTGCCTTGCTCAGGAGAGTCAGAGCTAACAGGTTGACAGGTGGCGACGGTGCTTTGAAGCCCGCGATGAAGTCAATAGGAGGCTCAAGGGAGCGGAGATCCGTGAAGGAGAAGTAGGTTGTAGCCTTGACACCAAGAGTGGTGATCGGAGTGGGATCTTCCTGAAGGACCGGGAGAAGCTGTGAGATCAGTGTCAGAAGGGCGCCAGGAACCCTGCGATCTGTACTCTCCGTAAGCTCCAGCTTCAGTTTGTCGATGAGGGAAATGTCCAAAGGAGTCGAAGGATCATCCAGGATATGCTGCAGGTGAGCTTTGACTTCATCATACGATGCCGGAACAGCCATTTCGTCCGAAATAACAGAGTATTCTAACCGCTTCTCAAGCTGCTAGGATACCTTCGAAAGACAAACTTGTACGGAGTACTCCATAGGATGGTGTCCGGACGACAGCGGGGAAGCTTAACAGCATTGCAAACAGCGCAAACACCAGCAGTAGCTCCCTGCATCATCTTGGGCAGTTGACAGTTAACAAGTCGCCGTCCAATGATGGTGATATCAAAAGTGTCTTTCTAATTCTCCTGCTAATATTCTGCTTTATGCAGCCTCAGAGATATGGCTGAAAATACCAGCTCCCTAGTCTCCCAGAAATCGTCCGATTCAGGTCTTCATATCCAACTACACCCGCTGGTTCTCCTCAGTATCTCAGATCACATCACCCGTCATGCCGCGCGATCACAACAAGGACCGATAATCGGAGCTCTTTTGGGACAGCAGAATGGACGTGTGATTACATTAGAGCACGCATTTGAATGCGTTGTGACTGAAGGAGCTAATGGCGAACTGCAGCTTCTACACGACTGGTTCGTCGAACGAGTCAAGCAATGTAAGAGCGGAGCTTGTACTCGATAATCCCATCAGTTCTAGCTGACTAGGCTTCCTACAACAGTCAAAGATGTACACAAGTCCCCCGCCCTCGACTTTGTGGGTTGGTGGTCAACAGCCTCCCCGTCTGGCCCGGACGCATCCCAGTTGCCTATCCATCGCCAGATCCTCCAGAGCTACAACGAGTCTGCCGTGTTCCTCGCATTCCACCCATCGCAGGTGCAAGCTGCATTAAGAAACGGCGCTAAGCTTCCCCTGACCATCTACGAAAGCGTATACGAAGGTGAAAATGCGACAGAGAACAGCAAGGCGATGCAGGTAGACGGCGAGGAGCAGTTGCTCTCCATTCGATTCCGCGAACTGCCGTTCTCCGTCGAAACGGGGGAAGCCGAGATGATTGGCATAGAAACGGTTGCAAGAAGCGCAAGGACGGCAGCAGCTCTTCAATCGTCTGGTTCGAGCTTGGGTGGACCCGCGCAACAGGACGCCCAGACTAGCCCGAAGACCGAGGCTGGCCAGGCCGAGCCGTCGCCCGACACTGTCGTACTCTCTCACGAAGAAGAAGAACGTAGGATCATCATGCTTTCATTCTCTTGAGCTTACCAGCTAATTCAGCTCTCGCAGTAATCGCCAGTCTGAACACACGCCTTAACGCCATCCGAACGCTGGAGTCCCGAATTTCCTTGATCAAATCCTATCTCGCCAGCGTATCCCACTCATCCGAAGGCCAACCCACCGGAACCACGAAACCCTCCCTCTCGCACCCGATTCTCCGGAATATCAATGCCCTCCTATCACATCTGTCTCTCCTCATGCCGGAACCAGGAAGCGCCTTTGCGGCGGAAAGCCTCGCCCAGAGAAACGACGTCCTCCTGGTCTCCTTGCTGGGACAGCTGGGCAATAGCATCAAGGCCATGCGTGAACTAGGCCGCAAGACCGCTATCATGAACAACGTCAGACAGAGCAATGCGTCGCGGAAGACTCAGCTGGCCATGCAGAGTCGGCTCGAGGATGAGTTTCTTTCGCGAGACGGGTTGACTCTTGGATAGTGTAGGCTTGCCAATTCAAACAGACGTGACGACCTGCGCTTTGTCAATTACTGCTCGATCTTTTATGGTTCATAGTGGCGTTTGGCGTTCCGCTCATAAAAGGACGCATTTCATAACGAGTGATGAGATAGCGAATCAAAACATGAGCCAATAGAGCTCGAATGCACTCTCATCGCGAAGAAAATGTCTTGTATGGTAATTGCATACGCACCAGCAAGCGAGATCAACTGCTATTGTACAAATAAATTCATCCGATCCAAGCCCGCGTCTCATGAGAAGTGAATCATAGCAGAAATAGAGGCGAGACTTGCTGGCCTCAAGCTTTTCTACGTCATGCATAAAGCAAAGAAGGGAAAACGGAAACAGAAAAGAAGAGAAGAGCCAAAATTGAGTACGGCAGGAGGGTATATCAACAAAAAGCAAAGAAGGCAAGGCGAAAAGATGCCTCAAAGACAAGACAGATCGTTCGCAGCATAAATGAAGGGAAACGAAGGGCGCAACATCGTCATTCCCGGGGTCGAGTAGGTAGAAGTAAAATGCAACTCAGGGTCATTATTGTTGACGATCGTCTATCGCCGGCCGTGCTCATTATCGAAGTGGACAGGCGGAGGCTGGTACGGATCAGGCATAGGTATAGGTGGCTGCTCTTGCAAGTAATCCCCTTCGTGAGGATGATGACTGGTAGCTCCCTGCTGAGATTGGGGCAGGTTGTTGCTTGCGTTTAGTGGGAGTTCTTCCTCCCTGTCCGGTACCCCGTAAGGGTTGTTATGGTATTGCTCATAAGGAGAATATGGTTGCGGAGAATGAGATGGTGTAGGTTCCAGCAAGGACGCGCTACTCAACCGATCATGCGACGAGTAGAAGCGACCATCATGCTCATAATCATAAGGTGGAGGGGCCAGGTCGCCAGTCGGCGGCAACGTCGGATTTGGCTGCGCGTGTGAGAGAAGAACCTGGCCTTCATCATCGGGCGATGTCCCATACGGTGCCGTTCTGCTGCCAGCCATAACAGCGCCTGCGCCTTGGTAGGCTGTGACATTTGTCCCGGAGCCATTGCTGGTTGTATTAAGACCAATGACTTCGCTCTGGTTCTGGTAGCTGGGATCCAGCGTTCGCTTCTTACGCCCCACGAAGAGCCAACGTATGCTGCGGCCCACGGCTTTGGCTAGGTCGAGCGGATTGACCGAGTCGAGAAGAGCTTTCATACCCCACCGACCACCCTGATAAGTCGCTTTGCCGTTGCCATAGAAGTCGGTCACCTCATCGGCGTGTGCGTTTGCGAGAGAGTATGGCCGCCATGGGAATGCCCACAGATGCAGGACGGAAAAGATCGCCATCTCAACACAGATGAGTAGGTTGGGGAGTCCAACTTTGAGATCCTGTTGCTGTATTGTATCATTCGCCTTGATAGCTCCGGAGGAGGAAAGAAAACTGATCAAGGTCTGAACCGAGCGGCCGAGTCAGCATCGGGAACGAGTGGGAAAGAAATGGCTCAACTCACAGACTGCCAGAATGAAAGGAAGATCACCAGCTTGATAGAGACGATCTTCAGGAATGGCGAATACTGGCTGATATCATTCTTGACCTGGTAATAGAATTGGATCAGGCAGTACATCGCAATGGACACAGCAACACACTCCACTGCCATACACTGCTGAAAGTCAGCACGCGCCATGAGCTAATCGCATGATTCAGACATACCCATATGTGCGAAAACGCCGGATTTAAACTCTCCTCGCAATACACGTCAAAGTTCTGGGTGATAACCGCGACGACGGTCATCAACACGCGCAAAAGGCAGTATTGGAAGACGCCTACCCAGATAACCTATGCAGCATAACGATCTTAGCGTCGTCTTTCATCGCAGGCATGAATAGTGCCTGGCAAACCAGCTTACATTGAACCATGTCAGCCCACTCCGTGGTATCCTCCACACCCCTTTCTCCCCGCCGCAGCATTTCTGAAGCCAGGGTATGGGCCAGATCCATTGCTTCGGCGTGATTCCGCGAAAGTATTCCTTCTGACTGTGGAGATCCGGCGCAATGTAATGACAGAGTAAGGCGAAGAAGGCCGAAATCGTGAACGCTTCGTAAGAGTTGCCGATCAGCTCGTAGTAGACCGCATTTTTGTAGAAGTAGGTACTCAGCCAAGCGACGAGAGAGTAGATGGGGATCATCCATAGGATTCGAATAATACTAGACAAGACAGCGCTAGACGTTAGTTCCAAGCGCATGTAGAGAGGTAAGCAGGAGCGGGGGCGGAAATCATACTGTCGCTGCTCTATCGGCTTGCTATAGTGTGTCGCATGGCTCATAATCAAGTAGAAGGAGACCACGACGGCGAAAAGAGCGAAAGCACCCCCCACAACGAGGCATAGCTCATGAAAAGTGAGACCGCCATCCCATAAGTCGATTTCGGTGACTGTCAATAATCATTCCCCGGTTAGCCAGCACTCGTATTATAGGACACCCCGGGAGAGGCATACTCGTTTCATCCTCTAATGTTGAATTACAAACCGGCCACCCCATGCTCGCGTCAGTCAGAATAAAGAGTTATTAGGGAGAGTGCTTCAAGATTGAAAGAGTGATAAAGAGAAGAAAGGAATCAAAATCTCCGATCCGAGGGCCAAAAAGTGATTGATTGCGTATGGATCTCTATCTTATCCGCCAAGTCGGCCTAGTCCCGGCGCGGCAGATCAACAACCCCTGGAGCCAGTGGACGAGGGCGAATATTTCTCGGCGAAGCTCGCAGGCGACGACGACAATACTTGGCGATGCAGTTGGATTCAGGGGGCGACGAACACAGGCGATGGAGGGGTAGATCGGGTACAACGAGCGGAGCAGTGAAGAGTTTTGAGCTCCTGGATAGACAAGGAAGGATACGTATACTCATGTGAAAGAACCACAAGCGCCTTGACTAAAATCAACATTTACGAGAAATAGAAAGAAAACTTAAAGCTCTGTGTATGATTTGTTGACTATTATTGTTGATTCATGGTAGCAGCGAGATTTCATACATGGTACAGCCACAAAGATCCGCTAATAATAACAGTAGAATGGATACACATGGATCAAATTGGAGACTGCGCCTCAGGCACCAGCATTTGAAACGCGGTAGGAGGATTAGTCTAACTGTTATAGGCCAAGCTTTGGTCAAGCCTTACCAAGCATAAAATATGCTGATTAATCGCCACAGCATAAACCCGTTATCTTCTCATTATCGGAACAGGATCTGCTAAGTCTTCATATCTTGGTTTTGATTGTGATAGATATTCATTGCTAATATACACGTGTGCTATCGTCCGTCTCGTTGAGAAGGAAAGAAATCGGAAAAATCAAGGTTGCTTCCCGAGCCCCGCGAAGCTGGCACCTTAGATGCGACGTAGATAATACAGCATTTTGTCTTTCAGCATTTACAGCCGACAAAGGCCTTCAAGGGGTTAGTCACGGCCTCTTCTACCTCTCCATGAGTCCCCCATGCTGCCTCCACGACCCCGGCCACGGCGCGGTCTGTTGCTACGGCTTCCAAACTCCGGCCCATTGTCAACGAAGAAGTCACCGTCTTCAAATGTGATTCGCCTAGTCTCATCGCCGCCACGCCGCGGAAACGATCCTTTCCGCAGCAGGTCATCGAACCGATCCAGACGTCGGTCGGCCACTTCGCGAGGGACACGGCGGTAGTAGAGCTTCGGCTTGGTTGTAGTGGATTCAAAGAGATCATCCAACGGCTTGAACCCTTGCCCAGGTCTAGGACGAAGTTCTGGGGGTGGAGGGCCGCTAGGGCGTCTGTCCTTATTGCCAATGCTTGCTCTGGGGCCCAAGGGAGGGGGACGAGAGAAGTCAGTCGAGGCTCGACCAGGCGCCTGACGCGAAGCGGCACCCTTAGGGTCCACTTCCTGCAGAACAGCCTCGACACCATCGTCGGTCCGGTCATACCGGACTTCCCAACGAGGCGGGGGACCACCGCGCCTGCGCGATTCTTCCTCCTTTGCGACCCATTGCTGCAGCTTTCGCTCGGGAATGAAATCGACAAATAGAGTCTTTCTGTTGCTTTCGTTGGGCCAAACAACACCGTGCAAGGCTGTTCGCGCTCTCGAGGCAGCCGATATGTTGGTGAACGTGACAAAAGAGTGCGTTTTGATGGGATCCAAGTAAAAGTCAACGATCACGCCAGGATCGGGTGATGAGCCAGGAGCCGTTGCGATGCTGACAAGATGGTTTTTAAGTGCAGTAGGTTGAAGAGGACGCATCAGTCCATCGATATACAAGGCTGCGGTCGCGACGTGTAGCGCGGGTTCGACCTCAACATCTTCCATTGCTGTATCTGCCGGAGGTGATGGGGCGCGAATCTGCTCTCTGTCTGCTGGTGCAAAAAGGTCCTTGAAACGAGCATCTTGCTTGATAGGCGCAGTTCCCTTTGTCCGCACGTCATCACTTATCGATGCACGACGAGTCGCATCAGTAATCGGAGCATTTCCTTCAGCTGCATTTTGGTTATGGACATGCTCGTTCTCACCAGGAACGGCGGCGGCGGCAGCGGCCTTCTTCTCAGAACTATCTTCCACATCCATGATATCACGGTCTTCAGGCAGTAGAACTCGGGGCGACTCCTCCAGGGCCTTGACCCTTTTGCTTGCAACCGCCTCCGGTGTTGGAATAGGAGTTTGACTGCGACGCTTCCGCTTCCGAGTGTCCTCGATCATCTCGTCCACAGGGAGAGGCGTTGACAGTCCGGTAGTCGCTGCCGATGGTTGAGTCGCAGTCTTCTCAGCAGAATCTGGAAGTTCTTTGGAGTCTGGTCCTGCAGGTGTAGGCTGCACCGTTTCTGCGCTTCCGGGAGCCTGCTCGACCGGTTCGGCAGGGTGCTCAGCTTCAGGCTGTGCTTGCGCGAGTGAAGGCGCACTGCTTCCACCGCCAATTCCGGCGTCTGCGACCTGATCATGTTGTGATTCCTTGCTCGAAACCTCAGGTTGTTCCTTCGCTTCTGTATCAGTCGCCGATCCTTCCGCTGGAGGTTCGGGCTTAGGTTGCTCGGTTTGTACAATCGGTTCCTCCACTTGCTCTACCTTTTCAGGTGTTCGCTTCTCTTCTTTGTCCTCTTTGGGCTCTTCAGACTCCGGCGCTGTCACCTGCGGCTTAGGCTCTTCCGGTTGAGAAATGTCGGCGTCGGGTTCCTGCACAGGCTGTTCAGTCGTTAACTGCTCGTTAGCGTCTGGCGCATCTTGAGGACTTGTCAATTCGCCGTTCGCGCCTTCACCCTCTTGCTTTGCATCTTCTTCCAGAAGCCTGTCGATAAAATTTTGTTTGACTCTCAGACCCGTCTGCGGAATACCGCGCCGCTTCAGCTCCGCTTTCAGGTCGGTCACTTTCCAGGTCCAATAATCAGTCATTATGACGGAGTAGAGCGCCGTCGCAGAATGAGAGCATGTATAATTTATTCGAATTTCCTGTGGGGTTGAGAGTTAGGTAATGGTTGTCATGACTGGGTGTTGCTTGACAAGATGCGATTCCTTGCAGCATAGCTCCAAGTGCCGGTCGTTGGAAGCAGTAGGTGGAATGATGTATGCGCTAGGCTGTTTGTGTACTAGTGTTAGCATGAGTTTTACCTAGTATGGAATAGTGAACTCGAGAGTGAATTGCCAGAATAGGTTAGTCAAATTCACTAACAATAACAATCACAAAGCAATCCATACCTATTGTTGTGAGCAGCTTGATAACTCTTGAATACCATTATTGACAATAATATGCTATGGTTGTCGCTATTGCAATAATACATGCTCTTGGGATAGTGTGGGGCCGAAGTTAATCACGAATATATCGATCCTTGAGAAGGAGCTCTCTCTACCCACAGTAACCCAACACTGCATCAGCCTTTTCTTTGAATGCTGTCATTGCAGCCCGATACAACTCAGGCCCAAGACTGATCCGGGCAACTCCTAGCTCTCTGAGCTCTGGTACCGTCAAGTATCCCTCCTCTAAGGTCATTTTGACGTTCAGTCTTCCGTCAAAGGCTTCAACCAGCCTTTGAACCTCTTCCTTGGACACTCCCCCCCTGGCAGATCCACCCCAGACGAACACTGTACAAGCCCCAGCCTCCAGGTATGCCTTTCCCCTTTCGACTGCATCCTCGATTGATCCTCCATTTTCTCCGTCGTGCTTGAGAAGGACATCTGTCCGCGCATTGATCACGAAGTCAGGGACCCCTGCTTCTCTCGCAGCCTGTATGGCAAGCTCAATCCGCTCCACAGCCTGTGGAATCGGCCGCAGTCGATTTTTGGCAATATCAAAGTCTTCAAGATTGCAGCCGACGGCTCCCAGAGCGATAATTTCTCTGATTGTAGCGGCAACATCTTCATAGCCGTCTTGGATATCCACTGTGAACGGGATGCGTGGGAGGCTGTCGCTATGGGCCTTCAGAACAGCGGCAATCGAGCGCACAGCTGCTAGATTCTGGGACAGAGTCAACTTCTCGTCTGCAATGCCTTGAGAGGCGGCAACGGCGTAGCTGGCGGTAGCGATGGCCTTGGTCGATGGATGCTCGGCAATAATTGAGGCGGTTGCGGCATCGTAGACATTCGTAAGAACCAAGGGCTCTCCGGGAATATGTAGCTTGCGAAACTTGACTGCAAGTTCATTCTGCATGCTCTTGGTCGTCATGTTGTGGATGACAGAGGTGAGCTTCTGGTCTCTGCTGTCTAGTGCACCTTTGAAACTGCGAACAAGAGATATGATACAAAGCAAAATATACAAGCGAGTGCTTCTGTTAGAGAAGCGAAGTCTACATTTTTATATGAGGAGCCGATGCCTCTTCAGTGATGCGGGGGTTCTCGTATTCGATGATGATGGAGCTTATTGCTCTCAAACTGGCCAGTTAGAGGAACGGTTACTCCGTAGTTGTCCTGATGTATCCGCCCTCGGTTCTCAACCACGCAGACAGATCAATCAAGCGATAATAGTTACTGCTTCATTCATGGAGTATGAGTCAGTGAACTAGCCCAGGACTGATTTGGATGAAGGTACCAGTGAGATTGAAAGATAGGACTCCAATGAAGCAGCTAGCATGAAATATTTATTGCTCTTACTCCTAAATATGCAAGAAGGATGTACTATGCTTCTCCCTTCAGTCAAAGTTCATTGTCATCCATGCTAAGTGGGAATCTACCTCCCTTTATCAATATCACTTATGAAGAGTCTGCTCTGCTCACTCGAGCTCACAGTTCAGACCTACAACTTCCACATATGTAAGTCATGCTTGCAAAGCGCCTGAAGGATATCCAGTGGAAGGGCAAGTCACCACTGTTGGAATCAGGCAGTTGTTGAAAGATGAAGCTCGACGTTTCTCAATCTCAGGTGTACTGGCGAGAATTTTTATTTCTTCAACAGCAGCAACTGTCCCAGCACATTCAGTGATTCTGGAGTTCTTGACGTCAAAAATTTTCGCCCTGTTCTGCGTCATCAAGAAGTTGTATCCATTGAGGTCGCCATGGATGGTTCCAGGTTTATGCAGCTTGTGGACAGTTTCTATGCACTGATCAAGGTCTCTTATTAGACAGCTCTTGGATTCCTTCTTATTCGGTAAAGGAATTGATATCTATCGATAGAACTTCCTCATGGCTTCCCATCCTTGAGGGTTACAGAACAAAAAAAAAGTAATCACCTGATATTACAGGTTCCTCGCGAAGGTTGCCATTCTATGCTTTGGAAGGGAAGCAATAATAGGGTAGCGATCACCATGATCCTGCATTTATCGTCAACTGGTAAATCAATCATGAGTCATCAAAAGGCGGTAACGTAATCAACCACCGAGCGACGAATACCACCGAGCGACGAATTTTTGCCGCTTCTAATAATATTTTGAAGCTTTTCAACCACCAACATCATTAGACTTGACTATCTAGTAGCTGAATATATAGC